ACTGTTAGGCGCACATAAATTAACGCCATTACCTCTAAGATTATATAGCGTTTCTCTGACGCTAAAAAAGACCTTGATTTACTTAAGACCGTTGTTATTAAGACATTTATAAAACAGGATAAGAGATTGCTGTTTTCTCCTGTGCTTTATGGACCTAAGAATGTAATAATTAGCACCTTGCAGCCGATTCACTTGTGCTCTCCCCACTCCCAGAAGGAGGGGACCACAGTATTCTCAATGTGGCAAGATAAAAGATTTATAAAGCCTTAACATTACATTGCTAGCTAGGCAGAAAACGCCTAATTCGCCTGAGAGCACCACTTTTGGAGTATACCTTATGAAGCTGCTGAGAAATGTGTTCTTTTGAAATATCATAAGCATATATTTGAGAAAATCACACGTGCCAGTTGTCTAGTTCCAAATTATTGCTTTTCTTTTAGGCCCCGTCCACACGTGTCCGGATATTTTTGAATCCGCAACTTTTTCTTTCCGGATTCAAAAATTTCCCCGTCCCAACGTAGCGTTTTCAAATCGAATTCGCCTATCCACGCGCATCCTGTGGTATACGGATTCACTCTAGAGAAACTAGTCCTACACGTTGTGTGGCCATATTGGTTTATTGTTCGGTAAGAGACTGGACACGATTTTGCCACGTCATCGGCGTCCACACGTTATCAGATTCGTTGCAGATTTTTTTTTTCCACTCTGGAGAGCGGATTTAAAAATATTCGGATTCGCTGCCAAAGTCGCCGGGTGCGTGTGGACGGAAGCCGTATCCGGAAAGAAAAAGTTGCGGATTCAAAAATATCCGCAAACGTGTGGACGGGGCCTTAAACTGATTTCCTTTTTGTGAGTAAATAACTGAACAGAATAACACATAGAACATAGGAGGGTTTATAAAAACGTTTTATGACAGGATATGAAAACTAAGCCAAATTTTGGTGGATTCATGCTATGGGATGCCGCCTGGGATCAACAAAATGTCATCGAAGGCAAGGTATATAGTGACCACATCGCAGACATTATGAGCAGGAGTGGGGGGGCCTCAGGGCCAACCACAGCTCCAGGCACCGGAGCTGCCTCCACAGCGGGTGGTTCAACACCAAGTGGGTCGACTCCAAGTGGATCGACACCAGGGGGCTCAACGCCTACTCCACCCAGTCCTGGAGGAG